GAAACCGCAATATCCTACTTGTAGTTATAGCCCTATAACATGCAAAAAAAATTAAGCAAAAAAGCATGTAAACACTGGGTATTTTTAAACTCAGGACAAAATTTTGAATCTATTTAGCCGTTTTTTTCATTAGCTTTTGTAGATGAGTAAAAGATTTTTCAAGTAAAAGTCAAAAAACATGTATTTTTTTCAATTTTGCATCATATTTTTTTATTTTTTTAAAATTAAATTACATGAGATTATATAAATAATGGTGTGTAAAGAAAGCCTTTTTTGTCCTTAAAAAAACAATATATAATTTGTATGGGAACAGTAAATGAGAGAGCGGAAAATTACAGCTAAACACAAACACCACAAAAGTGTAAAAAGAGGCCTGGTCGCAAATGTACATCGCAAAAACAGTCCGGTCCTTAAGGGGTTAAGAAATGGTATGCTTTATGGTGTAGCTGAAATATGTAGCCTGCTCAAGTGCTCCAAAGTGGGACACGGACACATTAAAACCCTCCATGAAAACTCACACTTAAAAACCTGAACTTGTCACGTCTCTTTTACAGCACTGTAACTTCACAAAATAGTGTCTAGGTAATACATTGGACATATTGTTTTACTCAGAAGATGCAACTAAGCATAATTTCTGAGATTTTATGACAGTGGTGTAACGGATCACCTGGCACCCCGACTGGGTACCTCCAGTGAAGGATGCTCCTAGTGTTTCCTGAGGACTCCAAGCACTCCAGCAGACAGCATAACCACCGTAGACTCCTTCAGGTAGCAGAACAGGAACAAGCTCTTACAAGAGCTTATTAGTGATATAGCAAGGGAGTATGAATAGCATAGCAATTCCTTGTAGCAGATTCCCCCAATAAGAGATGGCACTCCAAATTGAGGGTGAAGTAGAACTAACTGTACTGGCACATACAGCTTCTTTTATTCACATTCTACAAAAATAGTAATTCCCACAGGGTTTTTGCATTACAACCAATCAATACGTACAATACACTCAGACACTCCCACACAAAATCCTCCCCACTGCCTGTGATATAATTACTGAACACAATGGTCTAACTTAATTATCACAGGCAGGAAAATACACAGTTTTACACAATATTCATAACTCTAAAAGTATACATCACATTCACATAAACTTACATTTTCAGAATCATCATACGCCAAATACAAACATACGTCAAAATCATTCAAATTGGTCCAGTGGGTCAAAAGTTAGTTGAAAGTCCCTTTGTGACCATCTGCAAGCATGGCTTGGGTGTGGTAAGCCAATTACCTCCAGCATACAGAAAATGGCTCTATTCACAACAACAGTAAAAACACATAAAAATACATAATTCCTATTATACTGAACAGAACCCCCACATTCAACCTATCCCCAGATGGCTTGGATCTGAGCACTCACTATATCCGAACAGCGCTCAGATACCACAACCACAGTCAAATCGCCATGGGGTTAAAACACAGCAAGAGCTGATGAGAGACCAAGGAGGGGCAAAACAGCAAGTTCCAACTGGTCTGGCAGTGTCCCTGGGACAACTCCCTACTGGAGAACAATAGACCGGAAACGGGGGAGGGGAAGAGACACATCTTCCCATGGATTCAAATGGGCAGAAACAGTCTTTTAGAAGCCAATAAGCCCCAAATAGTCTTTTTAAATGGCAATACACCCCAGGGCCATAGTAACGAGGGAGGAGGCTGGCAATCAGGCTCCTCCAACAGCCAGGGGCAAAGGGCAGTTGGTCATATAAAAATCCAGTGACAAAAGGCATTTTGTCACAAGTGGTATGTGGCAAACCTAGCCACTTAAGAATGTATTTATATTCCTGTGATATTATTGCCCTTAAGACTGCAGGAATCTATCTGTATTCTATGTTCTGTTTAGTATGCGGAAGAGAGCGTTCGTATGCTAGCGACACGAAAGCCGCGAGCATTCATATGGTAGTTTCATGAACCGTGAATTTCAACACTGTTTGTGAAACTAATAAACTACTGAATGGGAGACCACACAAGGGGGTCGTGGGTCTCCCATTAAGTATTGCAACACTGTATCCACCGCTCATTAATGTGTTTTACGGGTGGCCGCCATTTGTATGCCGAACACGTGGCGGCAGCCATCTTTGTTCACGAAAGCCCAGCGGCACAAGTGCAGGACCTAATTAAGGACAAGGGAGATACCTTTTCTAACCCCCCAGGTACACCCCCCTAGCGACCCACAGGGTAGAAACCACCGGGCAGACCCGATTCATCAGCCTCCATACCGCATACCAGAATCAGTAAAAGAGAATATGCATAAGGAGATTGAGGAAATGTTGCAGTTAGGGGTTATAGAACACTCAGAAAGCCCCTGGGCCTCCCCAGTAGTGCTAGTGCCGAAGCGGAATGGGACTACCCGCTTCTGCGTAGACTACCGGAGGCTCATTGATAAGACCACCTCAGACGCCTACCCTATGCCCCGGATAGACAAGCTCCTAGACAAGATGGCTAGGGGCCAGTACCTTACTACAATAGATCTTTGTAAGGGGTACTGGCAGATTGCACTAGCCGAGGACGCCATTCCTAAGTCGGCGTTTGTCACCCCGTTTGGTCTGTACCAGTTTAAGGTCATGCCATTCGGGATGAAAAACGCCCCAGCTACCTTTTAGAGGATGGTGGACCGGCTATTGGACGGGTTCCAGGAGTATGCTTGTACTTACTTAGACGACATAGCGATCTTCAGCCACTCCTGGACCAATCATTTAACCCACATATGAACCGTGCTAGACCGGATTAGGGAGGCAGGGCTAACTTTGAAGCCAAGCAAGTGTCACATAGGGATGGCCGAGGTTCAGAATCTGGGCCACCGGGTAGGGACTGGGCAATTAAAGCCTGAACCAGCTAAGATAGAGGCAGTCGCCACTGCTCCCACAATATAAATCTTTTAGGACATTGTAGCTTTACAGAAAAGTGCCAAAGGCATCCAATGGGGGTATCGTCATAATCAGCAGATGTAGCTGTACACAATATGGGCTTCTGTACAGGAATAGTACACACTAGCTTTACGAAATACACATTACAAAAACCTTGTTATATGTGTATATGCCAAAATAGAGATAAAACACAATTTTACTCCAATATTTAGCAGAGATTGGCGATGGAATGGCTACATAAAAAGTTACAAAATAACCTTAGGTAAATAGCCTGTGATGTCTACTTTATATAAATATATACTTTTGTGTAGCAATTTTGTTTTCTGTGATGGGTACTAAACCTACAAGACAAACATACCAACTTCCAAAATTGCTTCACATTGAAATTATATTTTAGTCCTTTTATTTTGTGACCTGTAACTTTCAAAACAAGTTTTCTAAGCTGGACATATTATGCACACGCTATTATTGCCAAAACTGTGAAACTGTGTTTTTTTCCCCCCAATTTTTTGGCATTTGTTTTATAATTAATGAGAATTTATCTATGTATATGTCGCATCAAATTAAAGCCATTTTTGCCCTCTAAAAAACAGTATATAATATGTGTTGGTGCATGTGGCAAACCGTGCCACTAAGAGACTTTAACCAGTCGAATAAACTTGGAGTACAATGGCCGTATGACTATTAAGGCAGTAATCACCAGTAAATCGGTTCACGAACTACCTGTACTGTAGTTTACACGAAAGCCTGTAAAATACCGAATGAGGGACCACCCCGATGTGGTCGTGTGTCCCTCATTACCGAAGGCAACAATGTTGCAAAGGGTGCTAATTGAAGGTTCGTGTGCGGCCGCCATTTGCATACGAACACGTGGCGGCGGCCAACTTACGCACTAACAGCGGTACTTGGTCGTCGAATGCCTGGAACCCAAATTGGGCATTCGACTAACCAAGTACTGCTAAGACCTCCAGCACGCCAGAAAGTGACAAATAAACTCCCCGAACCACTCAGCATTCGGTATGTTGAATCCCGTGAACTAGGGGATTCATACGAATGCCAAGTCAAGCCTGGATGCCAAGGACTTTCGGGACTTTTTATACACAAACAGAGACCGACCGCAGGGCCAGAATTCATGGAACTATTTTCGGCTACTGTGCCCGTGCGGTCGGTTAAATCTTTTCCCTGTCATAACTCCTGAACCCCCGGTCCGATCTGGGTGATTTTTGAGTATGTTGCTCACCCAGATCAGGGCTACCAGGGGGCCCCTCATTTAAAGGTGTACCCCCTGTATTTGGGGTACATCCACGAATTGGGGAAAAGTGTGTACTTGTTAATAAGCTTAACTGTTAATCTAAGGGGAGGAGATGTGGGGGAGGTATCAACTATGTGATTGGATACTGTAATAATTATGGAAGTTACCTCCCTTGCATGGGACAAATGCATAAAAGCAGAGTTTGTGCAATAAAAGCCAGTTGACTCCCAGACTATGTGTCGTCTAGTCCTTGGGGAGAGGGATTATGATGTGTCTTTATTCTTCTGTATGCTGTTTCCAGCGGAGCATCTTTGGATTAACCCCTTCTACTCCGCTACAGTGCAATAAATGACAGAGATGCAAATTGTTTGAACACAAACAGCATAAAATTGCAAAAATGGCTTGTGTCCTTAAGGGGAAGTCCAGTTTTTGAAGCTGCGTCCTTAAAAGGACACTCCAGGCACCCATGCGCGGCATGTGCATTAGGTCTCCCCCGCCGCCGGCCGCGGCCGGGAAATAGGTCTCCCCAGCCGGATGATGTCACTCTAGGTTTTTTTTTTTTAACCCTCATTTTGCTAGAGTAATTAACAGTACAGCACAATAAAAAATACTATATATCTAAGATACATGCAAAGCTGTGCACTAAAGACAGAATTCAAAGCCTGCAACCATGACATCCAAGACAAGCTTTTGTATCTCACAAAGTAATTCCCCAAATTGTAATATGTAAATTTTAGGTCAAAATAGTTTCAAATGTTCAATTAAGCTGTTAATTTTGGCAGTAAAGTGTGAATTCCTGTTCATTACCATCAATTCACACTTCAGTGGAAATCCTTGTTTTGGAGCTAGAAGGTGTTACAAGGTTGAGTGCTTCAGACCTATTCCTGCAGTTCTATAAAAACACCCCACTCACACCCTGATGAAGACAGGAAAACTAAATTAAAAAACAATACGCAGCAAAACAATACGTCTATGTATCCCCTACAGGTCTTGGCATTTGAACCTGAAAGGAGAATGTTTGAATAGTTTATAGACTGAATGCATGCAAAGGAAAGTTTAGGAAGCATTTAAGCTATATCACAAGGGTTTAGATACATGGATGAGCCATGCAGTATAGGTGGCAAAGCTTGATACAGTGTGAGAGTTCGATAAAGCTTGGGAGGAACACACTGCTGTCCTAACCAGGAAATGAAATATAGAATAAAGCTTAGACTGAGATAAGGAATGTGACAACTTTGAAAGGGTTCCATATACGATAAATTGTGACGAACTGACAAAGGGATACTCATTAATTTACATTCAGAATATTCATATGACAGGTCTCCACAATTTGCAGTTTAGTAAATAATCCTGACAAGACTGGGTTATCTACTAAAGAGTGAATTTTAATATTAGATTTAAACAGATGAACTGAAAAAAAATTCTCTCAGTCTGATATTACAGTTCGGCTTCTCTGGCCTTAAATCCGCTTTGAATTCTCACGTTAGTACATGAACCTTTGTTTTAAAAGGTGCGTACAGACTCTGCGTTTGATGCGGCACACAATGCAAATTTAGACATTTTTCAAGGAGAAAATATATGAAAAAAGTACAGTTTTAATTTACACAATTTTATTTTTATTAGTTTTCTGCCGCAGGGAACTCAAAAGTGTTGTTCGATAACCGGAAGCTAAAATACAAAATTCAGCCTACAACTGCCAAATTGTGATTAAAGAAGAGTTGGAGAATTTTTTTAAATCAGAACTTTTTTGTAAACATTTTTCAATTTCCTCCAGTTCTTTATTTAGTTAATGGACCCCATAGAAATTCCTGGTGTTCCAGATAACGTGCCATCTCCTGTGTGTGAGTCAGATCATGATTGTACCTGGAATTGGAGCTAAACAGAGGACAAAGGTCTCCCCATCGCTTGTTCATACGGCCGATCCCAAACACCTTCGCTCAAGGACATCTCTCTCTACTTCCCAGTCTTGACAGCCAGTAAATGTCCTCTGAACTACATCATTTATCAGGCTGGAAGGTTATGCTTTCTGATTGGAAAAATACAATAAAATGAAAATGTTTTGGAACTGCTTTCAGATGCACGTGAGCAATGGATTATAACTCCAAGGTGGTTGGACATTCTGTAGGTTCTTGTTCAGTTATGAAGAGGTTAAAGAAGGGCAGTTTAGGACAGGGGCTTAAAGTGGGAGGAAACACCATTACTAGCCCACCAGTAGGTGTCGCCCAAGTCCAGAGTTAGTGGAGGCAACTAGTAAGAACATGGGGTAAAGCGATACTCTGGTCCATGTCGGGTGTGGGAATATTATGTATACTCAGACCCCACAACAATCACTACAGTATACTTAGAAATGTATCCATAATAAAAGTCGAATACTTCGATAACAAAGAATCGATGACACAGTTCCGGACTGTGTAACATTTATTGCAGAACATGCTATATTCATTCATGAAACAAAGGATTCATCTGTATTTCTTCTATAACAGGAATTATATGATTAGTCCTTTGTCCATAGCGGGTCATGGAAGGTGTTATGTTATAATGTGTTCCTGGGGACACTAACAGATGACAGACGACTTTCTTACCATAAAATGGGAGATTTTGGAGTCTCTGGTGTGAAAATTCAATGGATTCTGCTTATGAGTAATTCTCTGTCATCCTCCAGAAGAATCTCAACTCGTTCCTGCTGCAAAACAAATACACAGACATAAGGACACTTACCTTCCACATTCTCCTAATACACAGACATCTGGACACCTACCTTCCACCTTGTCCTAATACACAGACATCTGGACACCTACCTTCCACCTTGTCCTAATACACAGACATCTGGACACCTACCTCTCACCTCCTCCTAATACACAGATATCACGACACATACCTGTCACCTTCTCCTAATACACAGACATCTGGACACCTACCTCTCACCTCCTCCTAATACACAGATATCAGGACACCTACCTGTCACCTCCTCCTAATACACAGACATCAGGACAACTACCTGTCCCCTCCTCCTAATACACAGACATCAGGACATGTACCTCTCCCCTCCTTCTAATATACAGACATCTGGACACATACCTCTCACCTCCTCCTAATACACAGACATCAGGACATGTACCTCTCACCCCCTCCTACTACACAAACATCAGGACAGGTACCTCTCACCCCCTCCTAATACACAGACATCAGGCCACGTACCTCTCACCTCCTCCTAATACACAGACATCAGGACACGTACCTCTCACCTCCTCCTAATACACAGCCATCAGGACACGTACCTCTCACCTCCTCCTAATACACAGACATCAGGACACGTACCTCTCACCTCCTCCTAATACACAGACATCAGGACACGTACCTCTCACCTCCTCCTAATACACAGACATCAGGACACCTACCTCTCACCTCCTCCTAATACACAGACATCAGGACACGTACCTCTCACCTCCTCCTAATACACAGCCATCAGGACACGTACCTCTCACCTCCTCCTAATACACAGACATCAGGACACGTACCTCTCACCTCCTCCTAATACACAGACATCAGGACACCTACCTCTCACCTCCTCCTAATACACAGACATCAGGACACCTACCTCTCACCTCCTCCTAATACACAGACATCAGGACACCTACCTCTCACCTCCTCCTAATACACAGACATCAGCATTTGTACAACTTGCTTTCCATTAATTCACATATTAGGAGTAGTTTGCTCCCACAGATGGTAAAATAAATATTAGGACATAATTAAGAATCAATCAGCTGCAAGTGTTGTGTAAAAAGGGTCTGCATGGAGCAGATTCCAGGATTTACAGCTAACATTTCACAATGGATAACAGTATGTGCTGTATGCTGGCTGCTTTCATCTTACCTGGAACCGGTCCAGGGATACCTGGGGGCTCACTGTTATTGGTCTGCGGGGCAACAACGCTTCCAGCCTGATGGCATCTCTTGCAGTGGGCTGGCAGGAGATCAGATTATTTAATTCCTGAGCCTGCAGACACACAGAGATATTTTAAATCTAATTGGTTAATCCCTGAGCCTGCAGATACACAGAGACATTGTAAAATCTGATTGGTTAATACCCAGAGCCTGCAGACATACAGAGACATCGTAAAATCTGATTGGTTAATCCCTGAGTTTGCAGACACACAGCGACATTGTAAAATCTAATTGGTTAATCCCTGAGTTTACAGACACACAGAGACATTGTAAAATCTGATTGGTTAATCCCTGAGCCTGCAGACATACAGAGACAACGTAAAATCTGATTGGTTAATCCCTGAGTTTGCAGACACACAGAGACATTGTAAAATCTAATTGGTTAATCCCTGAGTTTGCAGACACACAGAGACATTGTAAAATCCAATTGGTTAAGTGCAGTGCAGCCCTTACAGCTTTCTTTGCTTTACCCCACTATCCCTAACATGGTACACTATCACTAAACATTAACCCCTTCACCGCATTGCACTATCAGTAAATATTAACCCCTAGCATCAGGAGCAGAACTGAACTTTTAATCACACAACCGTCTTTTAAAGCTTTCTCCCATGCAAGGGAGGGATTCACAGTAATTATTACGGTAGCCAATAGTGTAACAGTTACCTCCCATACATCTCCTCCCCTCAGTGTGACACATAATCCCATTAAACATGCTGTAGTTTTCCCCCGATTTCTGGATGTACCCCAAAACAGGCAGATAGACTGATATACCCCCTTGTAGCCCAGATCTGGGTGAATAACATATTCAAAATTCACCCAGATCGGACCAGGGGTTCGGGAGTTAGATGGAAGGTGAAATTTGACCAACCGCACATGAGGTAGTATCCGAAAAAGGCTCCATGTATTTTGGCCCTGCGGTCGGTCTCCGTTCGGTAGTTAAAACACATAGAAATACTTGCCATCCATAGCTAATCTCATATTCGTATGTATTCCCTTGTTCGGTACATTTATTTTACCAAACGAGAGGCTGACTTGCCCCTCCGTTCGTGAGTTATGGAGCTCCGGAGGTCTCAGCGGTGTTCGGGTGTTTGAGTGTCCGATTTGAGTTCCAGACACTCGACGACCAAACACCGCTGAGATTTTTTTGCGTAAAATGGCCGCCGCCACGCGGTTCGTATGCCAAACGGCGACCACACAGATACAAACAAAGTAGCAATTTCACGGTCAATTAAGCTGCGGTTACAGAGTGTGAAGGCTTAACGAGGTACACACTTCTCACTGGGGTGGTCTGATGGTTCGGTAGTTTTCATTCGTTTGAAAATGGAAGGAAAACTACCGAACAAGCAGACAAAAGCTACATATACTTACAGTTATACATAAGAATAATTACACAAATACATTTTTACCATGAATTCTTGAGGACAGCCCAATGCCATCCGCTACAATTGACCCCTTCACCGCATTGCACTATCAGTAAATATTAACTCCTACACAGCACTATCACTAAACATGAACCCCTAAACTACACTATCTCTAAACATTGACTCCTACACCGCATTGCACTATCAGTAAATATTAACCCCTACACCGCACTATCACTAAACTACCCCTACACCACACTATCACTAAACATGAACCCCTAAACTACACTATCTCTAAACATTGACCCCTACACCGCATTGCACTATCAGTAAATATTAACCCCTACACCGCACTATCACTAAACATGAACCCCTAAACTACACTCTCTAAACATTGACCCCTACACCGCATTGCACTATCAGTAAATATTAACCCCTACACCACACTATCACTAAACTACCCCTACACCACACTATCACTAAACATGAACCCCTACACCACATTGCACTATCAGTAAATATTAACCCCTACATTACACTATCACTATTAATCATTAAGTATAGTGATTGCAGAGTTGACAATATGGCTCCATGATTTATATTTACAAGACTGATTAAACTTGGTATAATAATAATAATAATGTGGTGTGGAATAGGTTGGCGCTCTGTGAATGCCAATACACACATGAATATAGACATATAACAGGCCTGTTTAGGACTATGTCCAGAAGACCCAAACCCAAGACCATTACTGTACCAGCACGCATTCCCTGCACTTAATGAGCAGCAAGTACCCAGTTTACTTTCGTTACTCCTGGCCATGTTTGGATTCTACCCTTTTAGTAAGCAGCTTGATTGGGATGGCACTACCCCCTGCGGTGACAGCAAAGGCGGGAAACAAAATAACGCCACAAAACATGCCAACATCACATGATGGGAGAGGAGCAGAATTTCTAACACCCAATCTTCCCAAACATTGCCCCGAACATCTAATCACCATTACTTGTGCATTATCTCGCTGCTATCGTCCAGCAGTCATTAACCCCTTCCCTGCCAAGGGCCTTCGTGATAACTCCACACTCCTACAGACGATGGAAGTAGACTATGTTTATTGAAACTGTGGTGGAATAGAGGAGGATTTGGATGGGATTCTACGTTTAACCCACTAAACATTGATTTGTATGCAGTTGCAAATCAATTGCAAAATATCATTTTTTTACAATTTTAGCCTAAATTTTGCAAGCTAATCGTCACCAAGTCACAGTTTAGTTAATGAGCTGAAGTTGTTTGCATTCCCCAGGTGGCACAGTCCACACATTTGGGAATCAGTCTCGGTTTGCTCTTACGATCTTAAAAGCTAGCCAAAATATAGATTCCCAGCTGTTGCAGAACTACAACCCCCATGATCCTTTGTCAACCTCATACTGTATGAAGAGTTGGATCTTTCCCCGATCTGTTATTAAACATCTGAGAACATTAACTGGAGGGTCTGAAAGGGGGATAGGGGAGGGTGATAAGATAAATTGGTTTCAGAGGGAGAAGTAGGGAACATTCCAGATGTTTTGAACAGATACCAAATGTTTAACCCTTTGCTAGATGTCAATAAAAAGCATTTGAAAGAAAAAGGCTTTGCTTTATCGTGCAGGGATGCCTAATAGGGAGAATGCAATCCTTTTCGTGCCTAAATAAATCCCTTTATAAATGGACAGAGAAACCAGTTTTAGTGCAATCCCTTGACAAGTTTAAACATATTATGAAAAGCTTCAGAAATGTAGGTATTTTTAATAAGGGGTTATCATGTTTAAAAGTGGAATCGTCACATTCCAGGACTTTTACTGTCGTGTTCAGCCACTAGAAGTGCTTCCAGGATCTTACTGGACTTTGGGTCGCCTATCGCTGGACGTCCTCACCTTCTGCATGAGGAAATCCAGCGCCCGTAAATTCTCCTTAGAAAAGCATTGATTCAAAGCTTTCCTGTGGGGAGAGCCTAATGCACTCACCCTGCATGCGGATTAGCCCCTCCCATCGGATGACATCGGACAAGGAAGAGCGCCGTGGGACATCGAATATAGAGCGGGAGGCAGAGGGAACTATAGTGTTAGGAATACAGGTTTGTATTCATAACGCTATACAGGGAGTGCAGAATTATTAGGCAAGTTGTATTTTTGAGGATTAATTTTATTATTGAACAACAACCATGTTCTCAATGAACCCAAAAAACTCATTAATATCAAAGCTGAATATTTTTGGAAGTAGTTTTTAGTTTGTTTTTAGTTATAGCTATGTTAGGGGGATATCTGTGTGTGCAGGTGACTATTACTGTGCATAATTATTAGGCAACTTAACAAAAAACAAATATATACCCATTTCAATTATTTATTATTACCAGTGAAACCAATATAACATCTCAACATTCACAAATATACATTTCTGACATTCAAAAACAAAACAAAAACAAATCAGTGACCAATATAGCCACCTTTCTTTGCAAGGACACTCAAAAGCCTGCCATCCATGGATTCTGTCAGTGTTTTGATCTGTTCACCATCAACATTGCGTGCAGCAGCAACCACAGCCTCCCAGACACTGTTCAGAGAGGTGTACTGTTTTCCCTCCTTATAAATCTCACATTTGATGATGGACCACAGGTTCTCAATGGGGTTCAGATCAGGTGAACAAGGAGGCCATGTCATTAGATTTTCTTCTTTTATACCCTTTCTTGCCAGCCACGCTGTGGAGTACTTGGACGCGTGTGATGGAGCATTGTCCTGCATGAAAATCATGTTTTTCTTGAAGGATGCAGACTTCTTCCTGTACCACTGCTTGAAGAAGGTGTCTTCCAGGAACTGGCAGTAGGACTGGGAGTTGAGCTTGACTCCATCCTCAACCCGAAAAGGCCCCACAAGCTCATCTTTGATGATACCAGCCCAAACCAGTACTCCACCTCCACCTTGCTGGCGTCTGAGTCGGACTGGAGCTCTCTGCCCTTTACCAATCCAGCCACGGGCCCATCCATCTGTCCCATCAAGACTCACTCTCATTTCATCAGTCCATAAAACCTTAGAAAAATCAGTCTTGAGATATTTCTTGGCCCAGTCTTGACGTTTCAGCTTGTGTGTCTTGTTCAGTGGTGGTCGTCTTTCAGCCTTTCTTACCTTGGCCATGTCTCTGAGTATTGCACACCTTGTGCTTTTGGGCACTCCAGTGATGTTGCAGCTCTGAAATATGGCCAAACTGGTGGCAAGTGGCATCGTGGCAGCTGCACGCTTGACTTTTCTCAGTTCATGGGCAGTTATTTTGCGCCTTGGTTTTTCCACACGCTTCTTGCGACCCTGTTGACTATTTTGAATGAAACGCTTGATTGTTCGATGATCACGCTTCAGAAGCTTTGCAATTTTAAGAGTGCTGCATCCCTCTGCAAGATATCTCACTATTTTTGACTTTTCTGAGCCTGTCAAGTCCTTCTTTTGACCCATTTTGCCAAAGGAAAGGAAGTTGCCTAATAATTATGCACACCTGATATAGGGTGTTGATGTCACACCCCTTCTCATTACAGAGATGCACATCACCTAATATGCTTAATTGGTAGTAGGCTTTCGAGCCTATACAGCTTGGAGTAAGACAACATGCATAAAGAGGATGATGTGGTCAAAATACTCATTTGCCTAATAATTCTGCACTCCCTGTAGTATCCCTTTAACAAATATGTGTTAGTGAGGTCTATACAATAAACATTTAATGTAGAAATCCACATTGCTGATCTCTGTCCTGTAACTGGGGCCTACACGTTGTCTCCTTGTCAATCACTGATATAATCTCCGCCCTTTACACCTGTCAGTCAGCACAGAGAGAGCATAGAGAGAGGGGGAGAGATAGAAACAACGAAACGAGTGCCCAGTCTGTGCGAGGACTGAACTGGATTGTGTCATAATTTGGTAAATGTTTAATAAAAATATTTTAAGATAACACAGCACCACACAAAAATAAACAAGTAAATACAGTGAGGGGAAAAAAGTATTTGATCCCCTGCTGATTTTGAACGTTTGCCCACTGACAAAGAAATGATCAGTCTATAATTTTAATGGTAGGTGGATTTTAACAGTGAGAGACAGAATAACAACAACAACAAAAAAAAAAAATACAGAAAAACGCATGTCAAAAAAGTTATAAATTGATTTGCATGTGAGTGAAATAAATATTTGACCCCTTCGACTTAGTACTTGGTACAAAACCCTTGTTGGCGATCACAGAGGTCAGACGTTTCTTGTACTTGGACACCAGGTTTGCACACATATCAGGAGGGATTTTGTCCCACTCCTCTTTGCAGATCCTCTCCAAGTCATTGAGGTTTTCAGGCTGACGTTTGGTAACTCAAACCTTCAGCTCCCTCTACAGAATTTATATGGGATTAAGGTCTGGAGACTGGCTAGGCCACTCCAGGACCTTAATGTGCTTCTTCTTGAGCCACTCCTTTGTTGCCTTGTCTGTGTGTTTTGGGTCATTGTCATGCTGGAATACCCATCCACCACCCATTTTCAATTCCCTGGCTGAGGGAAGGAGGAACTCACCCAAGATTTGATGGTACATGGCCCTGTCCATCGTCCCTTTGATGCGATGCAGTTATCCTGTCCCCTTTGCAGAAAAACACCCCCAAAGCATAATGTTTCCACCCCCATATTTGATGGTGGGGATGGTGTTCTTGGGGTCAGCATTCCTCCTCCGACAGAACAACAGAATCTGCCCCTCTGGTGTACAGGGGCTATAGTGTGAGTCCTGAGGATATCCAGACAGGGGGTAACCATTAGTATTAAACAGAAAAAGAAAGTGGTCCTAGGGTAAGAAGTCCAAGGCGCACCATTAGGATACCTCAGAGTTGCTTTTACAAATTAAAATATATTTATTTAGAATACATAAAAGAAAGAAACAAAAAACAAACACTCCACATCTATAAATCTAAGGAGAGAAAAGAACCTCAATTGGCCCGTAGGGGGATCTATGACAGGTAGATCATATACTCAAAGGGATAGGTGACTACCTCTAATTGGAATACTTGTACCAAGAAGTGGCTATGTGCAATGAATAATAAATAAATATTTCATTGTACATCCCTATGAGTATATGATGTATGTGTAGGTCTACAATCTTGTCCCTGACATCCTTGGACAGCTCTTTGGTCTTGGCCTAGGTGGGGAGTTTGCAATCTGATTGATTGATTGCGTCTGTGGACAGGAGTCTTTTATACAGGTAACAAGCTGAGATTAGGAGTACTCCCGTTAAGAGAGTGCTCCTAATCTCAGTTTTTTACCTGTATAAAAGACACCTGGGAGCCAGAAATCTTGCTGTTTTATAGGGAATCAAATGCTTTTTTTTGTTATTCTGTCTCTCACTGTTAAAATACACCTACCATTAAAATTATAGACTGATCATTTCTTTGTCAGTGGACAGAGGTTCAAAATCAGCAGGGGATCAAGTACTTTTTTCCCTCACTATAAAACGTATAGGTGATTTACAGCGTTCTATTCAGTAATGTGATTTCCGGATAAATTGTAGTTCCCCTTTAAAACCGAGCAGATGGAGAAGATGGTACAAGTTTCTACCAGTTTTATGGAATGTCAACTATTCCATCCTGTCCAGCAGAGACAATTGCCTTGGGATGTGTTATAAGTTAATCAGGCATGGACTACTTCCAGGTTTAGATTTATCAAAAAGCAAGAAAATACTTATATATTAGGACATCCAGCTTTTTAATGATCCCACCTTATAAACAAACATGTGTTCTGCATTTTATAGTACAGGGTTAGGCAACCTACGGCACTAGTGCCATGCATGGCACTCAAGGTGTCTTTGCACGGCATTTAAGGCTGCTAGAGCCAAACAGGCTCTGGCCTATCAGGAGTCCCAGTGAAACTTCCGATATCTGCTAATATGAAAAGGACAATCCTCAATTTGTGCATTATAGCACATAGAGTAAGTGATCTCAGGTCCATTCCTCCCAGCACTTGTGAATGGGAATCCACACTGTGGTAGAGCAGCCCACAGCGGATATTGCAGCTCCTGCCCTTCACCTGTACCTGGCCAGCCTGGTCTCCACTGGAACCCAGGGAAGCCACCCACACTGCTAGATATACACAGAAATGCACAATAACCCTCCCCTCATACAAATAATACGAACAGCCCACAAACAAACATACACACAATCTGCACAAACGCAACACCACTAACAATCCACATACATGCACACAATCCCACATGCAGCCTCTCACATGCAATACCCCAAACAACCCCACACATACACACACTACTAAACACACAATGTGACATATCCATCCACACACACACACACACACACACACAATTCCACAAGCAGCCCGAATCACAGCCCACATTCATATGTATCATACACGATACCACAAACTACTCCTGAACATATACAATATAATAGCTCATATACACACAAATACAAATATACAAAGCAATTACAGTATAAATAACACAAGCAGAATACTGCCGCATACAGACCTCAATTTTAAAAAATAGGACCGGCACGCTACGGGACATCACAATCCTATATTGGCACAGTGCTGCTAAAAGGTTGCCTACCCCTGTTATAGTATATTTATTCAATAAGGAGCCCTGCTGATGTATATGGCCTTACTTAACAGCAAGTAGAGGTAAAGCTAAACCCACATTACCGCCAGTGACTTAAATGGGCAACGACGGCTGAGATTATGAATGATTAATGTTTACATTTCCTATCTGCTCATGCAAACATTTACTATGATCCCTCTGGTCATTTAAGATGACTGACCTAAATATTTAATCAGGAAGTTTAGGTGAGATTGGAATCATGCAAAGTAGGGCCAATTTGCATAAACTGCCCTCTCCTTGCCCTTTCAGGATGAAGTTGTGATTAAGAAAGAAAGTGAATTAATTTGAATATAGAAAGAGGAACTATTGCTTTAAAAAACACCAGTGATCATGGAGTTGCAGACAAAGGCTAGTCACAGCTGATTTATCAGATTCTTAACAAATAGCGGAAACCAGTCAATAATTTGTTCAAGGCATGGTGAGTAACTCAAATGCAGTGGTGGCTGTTGATGGTTTAAAATGGTGGGGCGCCAGACTCCTCCCCCAGAATTTGACTCCTCCCTAACCAGTACAGCGAGCTGAGCATAATACAGAGATGCTCATACAATAAAACAAGCTGGACACAACATAAAGCTATCTTATTACACATAGTGTACACGGGATATCAGAAGTAGTTGACATGGTTTACAGAATTAACAATCATTGCAGAGTGTAAGGAAACCAAGTACATTTAAACCTTAATCGGTAGTTTCCTCCCGAACAGCCAGAGCCCAGTGAATATAGCCCTCCGTTCGGTAGTTATGGTAGACGAATTCCCAATTGTAAATCCAATAGTGTGCCGTGATAATTCCCACTGTAAAACACACGAACTCCCAAACAGCATACGTAGTCAGAATAAGGGTACAAAGATGAACTGAGGTTTAATGACAGGCATGCTCTTTTTATGGAATTCTGCCCATGCAAGGGAGCCTCCCATATAATTAGCCATACATCCAATCCTAACAATATACATACTGTACATCTCCTCCCCTCAGATAACCATTAAACACAATTAAAACGTAACAGAAATTCCCCAAAGTTTGGATGTACCCCAAGGACTTTTGGTGTCCCCAGATAGCTATTGTCTGGGAGACCAACATATTAAAAACTCAGTCCATTCGGTTCAGCCGTTCGGGAGATATAGGACTTAGAAGTTTTGACCGACTGCACGGGCAAAGTAGCCGAAAACAGTTCCATGAATTCTGGCCCTGCAGTCGGTCTTAGATCGCATGAAAAACCTCCCAAACGGCCGGCCATCCAGCTACCATCCTTGGTTCGCTTGATTCCCCATCTGTTGGTAAGTCTTTCTACCGAACGCCTGGTCGTTCGGTAGTTTGGAAGGGGTTTACCGAAGGTCTGGAGGCTTCAGCGGTGTTCGCCTGTTTGAGTGTCCGTTTTCAGTTCCAGACATTCAATGGCAAACACCGCTGTTCGGGAGCTAAAATGGCCGCGAACACGAGGAAGTCCCGAAATGGCGGCGAGACCTGCCGTTCGTGCAAAACTTCTGCCGAACGTAATCCAGCCAGCAAGGGGGTACAGTCTGTATAATGGGTAACAGGGTGGTCTGCATTCTGTAGTTTTACCTACCGAATACCATAGGGAAACATTGCTATTAACAAACAAATACAAGGAGTGCATATACAGTATAAAAGGGGCATTTCTTCACACAGAGTAAAACAGATTGAAATCAGAATTAGATTGTAAAGGATTTCCCTATATTCACCTGTGTTCATTCGGTTGTGTCCTCTCCCTGCTCTTTAACTACCTTTGAACGTTTCGTTTTAATTATGTGTTCAGGAAATGTATTCGTTCTATCGAACGGAGACCACCCTGGGTAGCAATCAGGATTTGGAACACCGAGTAATCACACGAAAAACCGCAACTTAATTGAGTGCTTCTAGGTGGCCGCCATTCGGCATACGAACACGTGGCGAGAACAAAGGATGGCGGCCATCTTAAATCTCCCGAATGCGGCCAGCGGGACTTACTCGTGGATTGCCTGGAACTGTTTTCGGCATGGCAATCACACGAACGTCCGGTCATTATGGAAGTCCCGTCTGACCTATTTCCACTCATAGTATCAAACCGGCGTTCGGGAGTTTTAATCTACCAAACGAGGGGAGCACTCTCGTAACCAGCCGCAACATATCTATGGTAGTTTTCATGTAATTCTGCAGAGACCGGCTCTTGCTACTGATTTCATGGAACTCTAAATCGGATACCACCACACGGCGAGCCGGTCAAACTTCCACACGATGCGACACGGAAACTACGGATTTTCGTGAAATTTGGCTATGTGACTCCCAGTATCCTCAGCTACCCAGGGATGTGGTTTATATATTTCTATATTACGCAGAAAGTATTTTTCTAAAAATGTTGAAAATTGTAATGTTTCTGGCCAGCAGATAATTGAATTTAGTATGTTGCTGAAACTCAATTAGCTAGCCTGGCCCAGAGGAGGAGTCTGTTACTGTATAAATTGAATGCCTGTTGCTTCCAGTAAATCAGTCTTGTTCCAGCATTAAGCTTTGGCTCATGTGTGGATTATTTGGCGATACTAGCGATATTTATTCCTGTGGATTATTGTTATTATTCTGCTACTGGGAAAAAGGGAATACTGGATGGTGATACAGTTTACTACGGTCACATAGTTCATTCCTCAGAGTCACAGTCCTTCAGTTTGAAGCTTCACAACTTTTCATCTAGCCACAGGATGAGTGTCTCAGGTCTCAGCTGTAAAGTGATCGAGCCCTTTAGTGAAGAGGGTGGGTGTAGCGGAGCTCCAATACCCAGCATAGGTATCTCCGCTATTCCTTCCTCGTAGCTGAAAGAAGCAGTATAACACTCCAAGACCCTTTCCCACCAGCAACTAGATGACAAATAGTTCTGGGAGTCAACTGAGTTTATTTTGGCCACACACGGCTTTTATGCACTGAACCCTAGCATGGGGTCTCCACATCAAAATCCCACGGGTTTTCCTCCCAGGAGGCTCTGTTTCTGAGAGATAATTAAATGAGAAAACATTAGCTCAATTATCTCTCTGATACAGGAAATCATACACAATATAAAAATTTTCATTAAAAATACACTTTAATAATATAGGAACCCCCCCAAACATTATATCGCTGAATAGCTTGCGTCTGAGCGCCCACTTTGTCAAAATAGCGCTCAGATCCCTTGGGTGGTTTGAGAACGCCATTCGAATGAAGTTTTGACCGGTTGGCCACGAGGTGCTGCCCCAAAACAGTTCCAGAGAAAATAAGGCAACGACCGGTCACCTTTCGTGGGATTCTCGCACGAACACCGACGAATGCTCCTCCTGTTCAGTAGTTCATACCTCCCGAACGCCGTTCGTATAACAGTTGGGTAAGTTGTATGGGCAGTGGTACCAGTTTCCCGGGTGTTCGCGGGGTCGCGTATCCGAAAATAGTTCCAGGCCACCGACGACCATGAACCGCTACCCGGGTTCAGGAGACAAAATGGCCGCCAATTCTTAGAACATGTGTGTTCTGTTATATGAACGGCAGCCACACAGGGAAAACCAGGGGTGGTCGGTGATTGTGCAGTGTTAATAGGGGACCACACAAAGTCAGTACGGTAACCGAACTGGGGTGTACGGACAGACGAACCGAAGGGAATAAAAGTGTAGTTAAGGCATACATTCCGCTACAGTGGGTATATGCAGTAGCAGTTATTCAGACTATTACTGACAGACAGCACAGTGCTCTTTGTCAGAAGTGCCCCCTCCCTTTGCCACCCTTGGGGCTCCCTGAGGTTATATAATATATAGTTTACCGTATTTGTTCTGGTGAGTATAATCAGTCCCTTTAGGCTTTTTGCAGTGAACACAGTTTTATCAGAGAAAATGCAGCCTAGGGATTACTCCACTGGCCACTCCTCAAATAGCTAATAGAGGTGGTTCCTGGGGCAGTGCTGCACGGTATGACATTCAGTGTCTCCACCCTCTCTATGGAGACACTGAACTTTCCCCATAGAGATGCATTAATTCAGTGTATCTCTATGAGGAGATGCTGATTGGCCAGGGTGGTGTCTCGCACCACCTCCAGCCAGTCTCCTTGGCTGAGATGATCAGAATTGACTATCTCAGCCTAGCCAATGCTTTCCTATGGGAAAGCATTGTGATTGGCTGAGATAATCACTTCTGATGATGTCAGTCAAGGAGGTGGGCTGGGGTGGAGCCAAATGTTGCCTTGGCCATTCAGCATCTTCTCATAGAGATGCACTGAATCGGTCACTGTGGCTATTGAGGAAGAGAAAAAGATAATATTATACACGTACATTTGGCATGGGATAGGAGCTGCTGCTATGCTCTCCCTGTGCTGCTTCCAAGATGGCTTATTGCTTCACTCTCTTGTGGGTGCTGTTACCCCACCCCCTTCTGCTATGAGCCGGTGGTGGCCCCTGAACAGAAATACCAATAGCATACCTCCACTCATGGGCAACTGGTTTTGCTGCCCTAATGGCAACTCAAATGAAATTCCTTCTTAATGGACTCTAAGCATGTGCAAAACCTACTGAAACAGGGCAGATTTCAAACCAGACCCTATTTTTTAACATGCCTAGATAAAAAATTTTTCCCCACATAAAACTGGTGGGGCTCTGCCCTAAGTGCCCCTGTGGGAGAGCCAAAACTGCTCAAATGTTTTAGTACAAAAGAAGCACTTTGTTTCTTTTTAACTTTTAGGGCTCACAGATCTCTCCCCCACACCCTTTACTCTGTTTTATAATAACTGGTGGACACATGTCCAATCCCTACACTAATGCATTACTGAACAGCCTGCTGGAGAAGGACCATGGTGGAAAGAGCTCCGATGACCAGTCAAAGCTCTTAGATCACCCAGTAGATGACAAAATACTCTGGAGCTACTACCTGTACCTCAACACCTCTGAAGGTATAATGTGTGAAGTTGCAGGGAATATCCGGAGAGACGGGAGGGCCATCTCAGCACCTTGCTACATCCCAGAGAACTTCACAGAGAAAGAAGTTATCCCTTGGACTTTATGTAGAATCTGTGTGCTGGTAGTCCACCATTATATTTATAATAATTACATTAATAACATATATACTGCAGAGCAAACTGGAAAAGAAGAGAAACCTCCCAATGCATCTTTCCTGAGAAAATCACGTTATTATTATTGTTATTATAGGTTCTCTTCAAAGGACGAGAAATACATTTGTAGTAAATGTATTGCCGACGTCTTGCTGCAATGCAATTACTACACATTTAACTAAAAGCACTCAGACCTCTCGGAAAAAGCACCAGTGTGTGTGTACGGGTGAAGGTCTCAACTTGGATTCAAATCACTTTTTCCCATGCTGTGGTTGCTCTGTAATTGTATAAACAAGTAAGGGACAAGTTTTGTCTTGATAATAAATTGCGCCTTCTGTTAACCTATGCCGTGGCTAAGCAAAATCTAGTTTTCAAGGGCAAACTGCTATTCAGGTGGGAACTAGATACAGGAAAACAAATATCCTTTATTTTTCTCAATATTACAAGATAATTGCATAAAGCTACTCTCTAGAGAGCTCAACCGTATTAATTTGTGGTTTGACTAAAATCAAGGCTCTTCCCCAATGCACACAGCTATCAATGCTGTTCAAATTTGGACCAAAAACAAGAAGACTATTAACTTGGGGGTACAGAGGAGGTGGGTTGTGAGTTGAAATTTTCTTTTTCTTTAGATTGAATCATTTTAAATTGTATTCCATATTAATATTTGATGTGTAATGAAAGCCATATTTCTCCTGAACAAAATGATATATAATAAGTGTGGGAGCACTTAGTGTGAAAGAGGTAAATTATGGTAGTACAGACATTTAACTCAAGTTCTAGGTTTTGGATTGACTGAGAACTTTGCCTCCGTCCTTAAGGGGTTAAATTGCACCATTTTTTATTATGGTGAAATGATGCAGAGCTTTATAGGAGGGTAACGTTTGAAATATACCTTTTTTGCCTGAATACATGTTTTTTCGACTGTTTTAAAAACAAGACATCATGGAAAGCCAGTCATCACTGATAGAGGGGGTAAATCTTTTGAGTACACAGCATCTGTTAAGTTTTGACGAGCGGATCAGCTTACCCTCATGCACTGGAAGCGAAATCTCATAAGGCGTATGCGGTTTCGAGCTTCTGCTGCCTTCAGTTGCCCCACCACCTTGGCCTGCTTCTCCTGCTCTGGGTCCCTCATGGTCTGTGGAGTTTCCTGGAGACATTTCAGGGTGTGCTCCCGTATTCGGCTGTTGGTGAGGACCAACGACGTTGCTACTTCTTTCTTTGGCTGCTCGTAGGCCAGACACCTTGCCCTTTGCACTGGATTCATCTTTCTGAGCTCTGCCTGCGAGATGGTATTCTTAGCCACTGTCTTTTCATTTGGTTGCTTGCTCGCTGTAACCATGGTCAGCTTCTGTGATGTCATCAGACGGATTGGAGAATTTCTAAAAAACTAAAGTACATTGGAGATTTTCAGATTTCTTAGAGCAGCATATGATATGTATTTGAGCAGTCAAATAGCTGACATTCATTAAAGGGGCAGTAAATAAAATATCAATAGTTTATTTTGTTGCATGTATCACTTTGCCATTGCAGCCAAGGTAAAAGCATCTCTGTATAAAGTGATGGATGGCATGTTCTGTGCTAGTCTATCTATGTGTTCACAGACTGCAGCAGTCACCTTTTAGGTGTGAGCTAGATCACACTTGTGGCATCCAATTTGGCATTAACGCTATAAATTAGAAGCAACACAAATATTAGTGTTCCTTAAAGTTGTCATTTTAAAGAGAAGTTTATTTAACCTGTACCTTCTACTGGCAAATCCAAAAAAAAACCTCCAAAACTCAGTAAAATATTTTCACCCCTCCTATTTGCGCGCAGCATTCACAAGTAAGGCAAAATCAGTCAAAAACCGAGCTAATGGCTAGAACCCATAATATATATATATATATATATATATATATATATATATATAGCTACTGTAGCCAAAGGTGGAATTAATAATGGCATACAATTTTCAATTATAAGTTTCAACAAAGCGACATTACCCAATAGGAATGGTTATCACTAGCAGGAAAGAAAATGTACGTTAGTGTTTGCATTCTGATTTCCAGTGAAGTTTAAACCTATTTAAATGAAAATTGATTTACAACAGAAAAACATGTCTTCGAACAACATGAGAATTCTTGTGGGGAATCTTTAAATAGTCTTACACGATGTCCTGGCTGAGTAAATGCTGGGAGAATTGCATGCCAGAAGCAGCTGATTTGCAAGGTCTTGTTTTAACATCTCCATTTAAAGACTGACACACTATCTCCTATCGTCTCGTGGGATTTTAATTCTTTCTTTATCAGTCTCTGGATTGCCCAGAAACCATCACTGTGCCAGATTGCATGCTGGGGGTTCATTCACAAAACCATGAATTACATAAAACTAGCAAAAAACATTGTTAAAAAAATGTATAACTATCAAAACAAAACATCCAAATCGGAAAAATTCTCCAACTGAAAATATATAAAACATTTTTTATAAAGGAAGTATCATTCAATGAATCCATACAACATGTAAACTCACTGAGCTATTGAATACAGCAGCCTTAATCATAGAAACATTAATGAAATGAAAAATATATACACAAGCATGTTCTATAATTATACCGTATGCAAAATGAATCATTCGAAACGCTTTCAATTCTGCTTTAAATGGCGTAAAATGCTATTTTACTTGTATTTGGTAAACCTGCTGTATTGATTAATTGAACAGTGTGGCAAACACATGTAATTAGCAAATTCTCATTAGTTTCTATGTGAAACTTCTCCTTTTATTATACATTGCGTTGATAGACAGACAAACACGAATACAGACGAATCAAATAGTCACCATAACAGAATAAGATGGCTTTGTTTTTTTAAATTTTTTCATTATAAATTATATTAAAATGGTTAGTAAACGGACAATTATACCAGGTAGAGAGTTATTAAATCCACTTATATTTTTTTTCATTTTCCCAAAACCAGACTCAAATCTTCTGTTTTCACCCTATATTATAATCTCCTCTTTGCATCCTAATATTGCCAGTCTGCACTGAAAATAGGCTTTTCTTGAATGCTCTTCATAAAAAGTGTGACCCTATAATGTCGCTCCTGCATCATTAAACTCTACTGTGGCGGAACCAACCTCGCCACTATGCACTGGAGAAGCCTGGTTGCTCGCCTGCTCCCTTTAGACTATGGCCCTGCAGTTCAGACCTGTTATTTTCCCTGCTGAAAGGTTTATTCGTGCCTTTCTGCCAGGGTGTTCGGTAGATTCAATCTACCGAACAAACTACCAAACGATGGACCACCTGGGAGCTGGAGTGTGTCGTCAATTGACCGCCCAGAAGCTGCGGTTAACCGCAGCTTAATTGATGAACGCTGGGTGGCCTTTGTTCGGTTGCCGAACACGTGGCAGCCGCCATTTTACCTCCCGAACGGCCAGCGGTGTTCAGCGCCCAAACTATGCCATGGAGCCCTGCCGTATACTGAAAGACTGTATGAAAGACTTTGGCTCCATGGCTATTGAACTATATGTATATGATGTGAGCGCCATTCGGTAGTAATATGCGCTCAGATCTAAGCTATCTGGGGATATGTAGAATGTCTATGGTTTTATGTAATAAATGTAACTGTGTGTAATTTTATGTCTTTTATTGAAAATGTGTGTAATGGAGTTTTGCCTCTGTCTTTGGAGATAATAATTGGATTACTTCCCAATTATCTCCAGGACAGAGAGGAGGGATTGTGATGCATTGTTGAAATGTGTAAGTCTGTGATTGGTTCTTGTGCCCTTTGTGTCCCAGTCTCCCATCTGGTCCCCTAGGGGAGTGTCCACCAGTTGGGAGACCTGCATAAAAGCTGGGCAGTTAGCCCCAGTAAACGAGATTCTGCTTAACCCTCAAACGAAGTGTCGTCTCGTTATTGGGGGAATTGGATTGTATGATGACTGGCAGGAGTGTAAACCTTTCGTATGGTTTTTCCTGTTCAGCTGTTTCCAGTATTCGTGGGTTTCATGTTCGGGAGTTGGAGAATTTGTGTAGTTTGCAGTTCGGGAGATTGGTGATTGCAGTAGCTGTCTGTGCATCTGAAAGGGGAATATCGCCTAAACGGTTTTTAACCTCTTAAAAAGAGAGGGCAAAACGGTCCGTTACATCTACAATACCCCAATACCCCACACCCCCTCTATCCCCCTGCCCCCTTTCTCACCCTCTATCCCCCGCCCCATCTCTCACCCTCTATCCCCCTGCCCTCTCTCTCACCCTCCACCCCCCTGCCCTCTCTCTCTCACCCTCTATCCCCCTGCCCTCTCTCTCTCACCCTCCATCCCCCTGCCCTCTCTCTCACCCTCCATCCCCCTGCCCTCTCTCCCTCACCCTCTATCCCCCTGCTCCCTCTCCTCTTTCACTCACCCTCCATCCCCCTTCTGCCCTCTCACTCACCCTCCATCCCTCTGCCCTCTCTCTCTCTTACCTCACCTCCTCCATCCCCCTTAGCTCCTCTCTCTCTCTCTCACCCTCCATCCCCCTGCCCTCTCTCTCACCCTCCATCCCCTGCTCCTCTCTCTCTCTCACCTCCTCCATCCCCCTGCCCTCTCTCTACCTCCATCCCCCTGCCTCTCTCTCACCCTCCATCCCCCCTGCCCTCTCTCTCTCACCCCCTGGTTGGATCCTCTGCTAGCAGGCCGCCATGCCGTTTGTTTACCAGCGTTGCCCTGGAGATCCCGTTGCTGAGCGACAAACTCCGCCTCTTCCATGTCACGTGATCAAACCAACAGCAGCAGGAACTAACTACAATCCCCATCATCTTTCACTGTGCTGCTACAGGATTATACCCCCTCTATTAGTTATTAGCCCTTTATTAGAGAGTTATTACCCCCCTGTGTTAGTGTTATTACCCCCTGTGTTAGTGTTATTACCCCCTGTGTTAGTGTTATTACCCCCTGTATTAGTGTTATTACCCTCTGTGTTAGTGTTATTACCCCCTGTATTAGTGTTATTACCCCCTGTATTAGAGTTATTACCCCCTGTATTAGAGTTATTACCCCCTGTATTAGTGTTATTACCCTCTGTGTTAGTGTTATTACCCCCTGTATTAGTGTTATTACCCTCTGTGTTAGTGTTATTACCCCTGTATTAGTGTTATTACCCTCTGTGTTAGTGTTATTACCCCTATATTAGTGTTATTACCCCTGTGTTAGTGTTATTACCCCCCTGTGTCAGTGTTATTACCCCCTGTATTAGTGTTATTACCCTCTGTGTTAGTGTTATTACCCCCTGTATTAGTGTTATTACCCTCTGTATTAGTTTTATTACCCCCTGTATTAGTGTTATTACCCCCTGTATTAGAGTTATTACCCCCTGTATTAGTGTTATTACCCCCTGTATTAGTGTTATTACCCCCTGTATTAGAGTTATTACCCCCTGTATTAGAGTTATTACCCCCTGTATTAGTGTTATTACCCTCTGTATTAGTGTTATTACCCCCTGTGTTAGTGTTATTACCCCCTGTATTAGTGTTATTACCCTCTGTGTTAGTGTTATTACCCCCTGTGTTAGTGTTATTACCCCCTGTGTTAGTTATTACCCCTGTGTTAGTGTTATTACCCTGTATTAGTGTTATTACCCTCTGTGTTAGTGTTATTACCCCCTGTATTAGTGTTATTACCCCCTGTATTAGAGTTATTACCCCCTGTGTTAGTGTTATTACCCCTGTGTTAGTGTTATTACCCCCTGTATTAGTGTTATTACCCCCTGTATTAGAGTTATTACCCCTGTGTTAGTGTTATTAGCCCTATGTTAGTGTTATTACCCCCTGTATTAGTGTTATTACCCCCTGTATTAGAGTTATTACCCCCTGTATTAGTGTTATTACCCCCTGTATTAGAGTTATTACCCCCTGTATTAGTGTTATTACCCCCTGTATTAGTTATTACCCCTGTATTAGTGTTATTACCCGTGTTAGTGTTATTACCCCCTGTATTAGAGTTATTACCCCTGTATTAGTGTTATTACCCCCTGTATTAGTGTTATTACCCCCTGTATTAGTGTTATTACCCCCTGTATTAGTGTTATTACCCCCTGTATTAGTGTTATTACCCCCTGTGTTAGTGTTATTACCCCCTGTATTAGTGTTATTACCCCCTGTATTAGTGTTATTAGCCCCTGTGTTAGTAAGTATTACCCCTGTATTAGAGTTACTACCCCCCTGTATTAGTTATTACCCTGTATTAGTGTGTTATTACCCCCTGTATTAGTGTTATTACTCTGTGTTAATGTTATTTACCCCTGTATTAGTGTTGGCTACCCCCCTGTGTTAATGTTACACCTCTGTATTAGAGTTATTACCCCCTGTATTAGTGTTATTACCCCCCTGTATTAGTGTTATTACTCCCCTTGTAGCTATTAGAGTTATTACCCCCTGTATTAGTTTTATTACCCTGTATTAGTGTTATTACCCCTGTGTTAGGTGTGTGTTATTACTCCCCTGTGTGCTAGTGTTATTACCCCCTGTATTAGTGTTATTACCCCTGTGTTAGTGTTATTACCCTCTGTGTTAGTGTTATTACCCCCTGTGTTAGTGTTATTACCCCCTGTGTTAGTGTTATTACCCTCTGTATTAGTGTTATTACCCTCTGTATTAGAGTCATTACCCCCTGTATTAGTGTTATTACCCCCTGTATTAGAGTTATTACCCTCTGTATTAGAGTTATTACCCTCTGTATTAGTGTTATTACCCCCTGTGTTAGTGTTATTACCCTCTGTGTTAGTGTTATTACCCTCTGTGTTAGAGTTATTACCCCCTGTATTAGTGTTATTACCCTCTGTGTTAGAGTTATTACCCCCAATATTAGTGTTATTACCCTCTGTGTTAGTGTTATTACCCCCTGTATTAGAGTTATTACCCCCTGTATTAGTGTTATTACCCCTATATTAGAGTTATTACCCCTGTATTAGTGTTATTACCCCTATATTAGAGTTATTACCCCCTGTATTAGTGTTATTACCCCCTGTGTTAGTGTTATTACCCCTGTATTAGTGTTATTACCCCCTGTGTTAGTGTTATTACCCCCTGTATTAGTGTTATTACCCCCTGTATTAGTGTTATTACCCCCTGTGTTAGTGTTATTACCCCTGTATTAGTGTTATTACCCCCTGTGTTAGTGTTATTACCCCCTGTATTAGTGTTATTACCCCTATATTAGTGTTATTAGCCCTGTATTAGTGTTATTACCCCTATATTAGTGTTATTACCCCCTGTGTTAGTGTTATTACCCCTATATTAGTGTTATTACCCCCTGTGTTAGTGTTATTACCCCCTGTGTTAGTGTTATTACCCCCTGTATTAGAGTTATTACTCCCTGTATTAGTGTTATTACCCCTATATTAGTGTTATTACCCCTGTATTAGTGTTATTACCCCCTGTATTAGTGTTATTACCCCTATATTAGTGTTATTAGCCCTGTATTAGTGTTATTACCCCTATATTAGTGTTATTACCCCCTGTGTTAGTGTTATTACCCCCTGTATTAGTGTTATTACCCCTATATTAGTGTTATTACCCCCTGTATTAGTTTTATTACCCCCTGTATTAGTGTTATTACCCCCTGTATTAGTGTTATTACCCCCTGTATTAGAGTTATTACCCCCTGTATTAGTGTTATTACCCCCTGTATTAGAGTTATTACCCCCTGTATTAGTGTTATTACCCCCTGTATTAGTGTTATTACCCCTGTATTAGTGTTATTACCCCCTGTATTAGTGTTATTATCCCTGTATTAATGTTATTACTGTAGCGGAGAGGTAGTATAATTCACGGTATCTCTGCTGGGTAACAGGAGCAGCATAAAATAATCCAGGAAAAGAAGCACAGCATACAATAATCTCAGTAGCGTTGTATAAATCCTCCCTTCCCAAGAACTAGACGACACAGGTCACAGTATTTGTGGGATTCCCCGTGCAAGGGCTTTCCCTACTGACATTAAAGGCAGGGGTGGTACAGTAGGGGACTGCATGGGGGAACTTAACAACCCGGACATTTCTCCCATCATGCACTGCTGTACGAGAGGGATACTCCCACTAGAATACCTAGTTAAGTGGATTATCCCTCCTTGCAGCAGAACCGACATTTCACCTGAAAATGTATAACTTTTACATTATTCACTTTATTTAAACGAATGGACGTTCGGTAGATAGCTGGGGTCTGAGCGCACAGTTCGTGAAAGTACCGCTCAGATGCCAGCATAACTAACCGAACGCCGCACGAAACACACATTATTTTTGTGGCGAAACCAACCTCGCCACTGTACACTGGAGAAGCCTGGTTGCTCGCCTGCTCCCTTTAGACTATGGTCCTGCATTTTAAACTTTTATTTTACCGGCAGAAAGGTTTATTCGTGCCTTTCTGCGGACTGTTAAAGCCATGCTACCCCAGATAGCTATGCCATGGAGCCCAGCCGTATACTGAAAGACTGTATGAAAGACTTTGGCTCCATGGCGATTGAACTGTATTTATGTGATCTGAGCGCCATTCGGTAGTAATGTGCACTCAGATCTAAGCTATCTGGGGATATGTAGAATGTCTATGTTTTATGGAATAAATGTAACTGTATGTAATTCTATGCCTTTTATTGTATTGTTACTGCCATGTGGTTAATGGAGTCTTGCCTCTGTCCTGGGAGATAATTGCATTACTTCACAATTATCTCCTGGACAGAGAGGAGGGATTGTGATGTAAATATGGGTGTGTTTTACGGTTCCCCTGTAACGATTGGTTGTACTGTGTCCCACCCTGTGGGATGTCCCTTGCATGGGGACTTGCATAAAAGCCAGTGTGTGGCAAACCTAGCCACTCGGACTATAACTGGACACTATGCCTTTAAGGGTTGCCTATAGGTCTGGAGAGATATGCGTTTTAACCTGTATGTGTCTGCTTCCTGTATTCCCTGCATTACCTGTAATTATCTGTTCCACCGAATGCAAATGGCGGTTTGAATGGGGATTCCCTTTCGTTTCACGAACGGCACTTTGGAGGGCCGTTCGTGAACCGAACGCGATACCCCCTAATAGCCCACACACTTAGAGGCGTGTGGCGCTAGTTAACCGATTGCAACATTGTTGCAATCGGTTATTAGAGGCTCTCCTGGGTGGCCGTCGTTCGACTACCGACCATGCGGCGGTCGGCCATCTTGGATCCTTTGTTCCCTCAGCGGGGTTATGTCGTCGAGCGCCTGGTACTAAAAACGGCTACTCGACGGCACGAGCCCCGCTGAGCCTCCAGGGCGTTCGGGAGTTTCGGGACATTCGGTATTTTGTTCCCTTCAAGCAATCGGTTCTTTTCATATGTTTTATACGAATTGTGTTTTTCGTGCGGCGTTCGGTTATTTTAGCTGGGATCTGAGCGGTAATCTCACGAATGATGCGCTCAGACCCCAGCTATCTACCGAACGTCCATTCGTGTAAATCCACTGTATATTCCCCAAGTTATGGATTTTTGTGTGAATTGTCGGTTCTGCTGCACGAGGGGATAATCCACTTAACGGTGCATTCTGGGAAGATAATCCCTCTCGTGCAGCGGTGCCTGATGGGAGAAATATGCTGTAATGTAAGTCCCCCATGTAGTCCCCTCTGGGAGTGCCCCTGGGGAGGGACTCAGGAAACCCCTTGCATGGGGACTTGTATAAATTGTCCTGCCGATTAAAAGGTTGTCAGTTGACTCCCAGCCTAT